CCCCAAAACCCCAAAACCCCAAAACCCCTTAGGATGTTATAAATTTCTTCAATTCGAATTTCAATAATAAAATCAATTTAAAACTACTATTATGGTTGAATCATCAGCTTAGAAAGAAGATCTGTAGAATTTCTCTGCCGAGAGATGGATTTTGCAAACAAAGAATATCGCATAGACTGTTGATGCCATTGATGTAGATTCTTGGGTTGCCTTCCTCTATGAGACTACTAACCTATTCAAAAAGATGGGGTCTGCTATGTCTATGGCATTTTCTGGTAAGTTCACACTCAATACCTTACATCACTCATGAGAATAATGAATACTAATTTATGTTTAGATATCACAACAAAGGCAGAGGTCATATAGAATAACAGAGATGCTCTAAGGAAAGAAAGAGGAGCAGATAGTTCCATTTCTCTATAGGATTTGATTGAAGACGATATCACTAAGGGCCTTGCGAAACTTAATGGAGAGAATAACTCTAAGCTTTGCAAAGAGATGTATAAGGGAGATAAGAAATTAGCTAAGGATGACTATAGACATTAATTCACCTCCACAGCCAGAACAGTTTTGAGAAATTTGTGGCTTCTCGATTTCTTGCATCACTTCATGACTATGCTACATACTAATAGAGATGCAAAGTTATCAGCATGTGCCAAGCATGCTTATAGTGAAGGTCTTGGACCTCATCATCCTTGGGTAGTCAGACAAGCAGCCAAAGTAGCGATGTAAGTCTTATTATGAGTTGTTCTAATATGAATGATTTAGGTTGGCTTGCCCTTCTAGAGAGAATTTTTTGAATGACACCAAGGCCACCTATGAGTAGATAGATGAGTTCAAACAAACTTTAGAATAATTCCGAGGATAATTATGGGAGTATTATAAGCAAAAGGCCATTATCGATTTACCTTGAAGATAACAGTAACTTACAGGTGACAAAACCTTTGCATAAATTGATCTTTTAATCATTCTTAAAAATAATGCCTAATACTGACATCATGGGGTTTTGGGGTTTTGGGGTTTTGGGGTTTTGGGGTTTTGGGG